GCCACTTCTTGTTCATCTTCATCAGAACTTTCTTCATCACCCCATATAGCCATATGAGCCTTGTGCTTCTTTTTTGGATTGACCTTTTTTCTTCAATTGCGGGAAATCATATTTGACATGACCCGGCGTTTTGCACTCATAGTAAATAATAAGGTCTTTCTCATTCGGTTCATTTTTGAAGCCTTCGTTTCGTTTGAATTTTCTTCCTCGATTGGGCCTCATTAATTTTCTGAACCGTTTGGCAAATAATGCCATTTTCTCGTCATCTTCATCCGAATCACTCTCATCCTTTGTGGATTTAAGAGCAACTCCAACGTTCTTCTTCTTCTTCGTCTCTTTCTTTATCTCGTTTGTCTTTTTGAGGTCTAACTCATCTTGAAGCATCATTTCATGCGAGAGGAGAGAACCAATAGCTCATCGAGGGTCAAGGATTTTAAGTTCTTAGCCTCGATGATCGTCGTCTTCTTTGATTGCCAAGATTTTGGAAGAGAATAAACTAACTTCCTCACAAGCTTCTCATTTGGAATGATCTCTCCAAATAATTTGAGACCATTGAAAATCGTGGAAAATTTATCCGTCATAGCATTGATATCTTCATCCTGAAATTTTCATAGGTATGAGTTAGAAGACTAATTTTGGATTCTTTTACCTCGTTTGTGCCTTCATGAGTGACTTGTAGTTTATCATATATTTCCTTGGTGGTTGTACAAGATGATACTCTCTCGTATTCATCCAGTCTAAGAGCACAAAATATAATATGGATAACTTTGGAGTTGAGCTGGAATATTCTTGTCTCTCATTCACTCCACAATCTTGGATGAGTGGAAGTTTTGATATATTTGTCTTCTATGATATTCCATGCTCCCATGTCACTTGCTTGAATGAAGTATTTTATTCTTCCGATAAGCATAATTAGCTTTATTGAAGAAATGAGGCTTGTTGACGGGCAATGAATCAGACCGAAGTCGTGGTTTGAAGTGGAGGCCATTGATGACTTGATTATCGATATAACTCTTCCCGAATCAACTCAAGAGGCGATTAAACATTCAAATGAGTGAGGCTCTGATACCAATTGTTGAGTTAATCGATTGACGAAATTGACCAAGATGGGGTGAATTGGCAATAAAAGTTTCGGTGGAAGCTTTTACAGAAAATTGAAAATATTTGCACAGAGCTTTAGAGTGGTTCAACTTTCTTAACCAAAGTCTATGTTCACTACCTTAGCTATCCACACTAAGGATTTTCCACAAATTCATTAATTTTTCTTTCTTTTGAGGAGAGTAACCTTACAAATCCCTCAAGAATTATACCCCAAATTCTTGAGAACACTCTCTCCCAAAAAGAATAATACAAATTTCGTAAACTTATAGAAAAACCTCACAAGGTAAGATGTTTGCACAATTCTAGAACAAAGAAAGAACACTCAAGAATAATACAATTGTGCACAATAAGTGTTCTTGAAAGCAAAAATGAATATTAAATGAAATAAACTTGAAAATGCTCAAACTTAAGGTTTGATGCTTTCTCTTTGATTCTCTCTCAATTCTTCTTAATTGTTGTTGATCAATGGCTTCTAAGCTTGTTTAAATACTCTTTGGATCAATTCTGAACGTTGTGGGATCATTGGTGGAGTCAATAGAGCCGTTATTGTGTGAAAACAATTAATAAAACAACTTGAAGAGTGGGGGGTGGTATCGGTACCCCATCATAGGGTATCGGTACCTACAGTGTAAAATTCAAATATTTCGACTGTTATAAGACTGGGGGTATCAGTACCCTCCGAGCATTCTGCTATTTCTTGGAGCTAAATCTTACATAGGGTATCGATACCCTCTGGGGGGTATCGGTACCCTCTGGGCAATCTGCCTTTTTCGGTTTGAGATTTATTAAGAAAAGATTTTTGGCTCGATTGTGGCTCGAAATACTTTGTAAAATTTGTTTTAAAATATTTTAAGATTAAAACACAACTTTACACTTAAGTAAGGATTAAAATTGTCATTTGAAAAACTTGGAGTAATATTTTGATATTCGAATAATTGAATCGTATATACTATGAAAATGATTTGTAAAATCTTAAAATTTATACTTAATTTTTTATATCGAAACATCAAAATTTTTTCAACAGTTTGACTTGTTTGAAAGAGGGGACCATGCCTTGGTTGTTGTTGGTAACCTTTGTGACTTCATCATGGATGGGGAATCACCCTGGAATCTGGAAAGTCATCTTGGCAGAGGAGAAAGCGGCTAGGGTTCCTTAGGGTTTCGTTTCAGCCAAGGATGAGGGTCGTTGGACTTATTTCATATATAGGGCTTGGGTTTGTGGGTTGAATTGGTTGATTGTTTGTGTAATGTAAATGGATTGTTGTTTAGGATATTTAATGAATATTTGGTTTTAAAAAAAATGGGTCTATAATGGCCTGTAAATGTAATTTAATTTGGGTTTATCGTTTGTAATTAGTATCTAATGACAAAGCTTTAATTTGAATCTCAATTTGGGCTCCAAATTAGGATAACCCAACCCCCAAAGATCACAATTAAGCAATGATTTAAATTTATCACCAAATTTCTCAACGTTGCAAAATTAATAATTTTCCACTGAACCCCTTTACTCCAAAGTGGCCTCCGATCACCTTTAATTCGATTTGGAATTTTTTTGACAAAATTAGGACATGACACACTGAGCTGAAATTTTAAAATTATTATAATTTTATATTCTTTTATGTATTTTTTTATTAAAAATTTGTTTTTGCCTCTCTAAAATTTTAAAAATTCATTCTATAACATAAAATCTGATGTTTATCTCTGATTATATTATAATTATAATCTGGGAGGAACTGAGAGTGACTACTGGCCTCAATTGCCCTCTAAAAGTTTTAAATTATCATATTTTTAGATTTTTTATATATTTTATGTTGATAATATACTTTCATCCCTTATAATTTTATAGCTATGTTCCTTTTAAAATTTTATAAGTTCACTCCTTGACATAAAATCATGAATATATTCTTTATTGTAATAGTAATTATATTTCTATATTTTTAAAAATACACCATTTTTTAAAGTTATGGTACTATATAATAATGGTTTTATATATAAAAGAAGAAGAAGAAGAAATGCTCGTATATATTTAACAAATGGAAGAAATATAATTGTTACTATTAATTAAAGCTTGAGGTATAGGGGTTGCATTGAAAATAACTAGTAGAGGATTCCTTGTGCAGATAACCAAATATTATGCTAGCGGAATACATTATCAGATATTTATATTAAAGAAGAACGCTACTTTTTTAAAGACATGTCATCCACGGTAATTATTATTCTATTCTTCCAAGCCAAAACAAAATTCACAGTATATTAGCATGAATCAAATTAATTTTATAGTTAAATAAATTATTTATATTCTTAAAGGTTACATATTTGAACATTAACGATCATAAGAGTGATTGAATGTTTATTGTCAAATGATTAAAAACACTTAGAATATATATTATTTTATAATCACCTTTATAACTTATCAAAAAATTCACCATATATTAAATAAATTATTATAATTTTTATAATATATGTACGTACGAGTAAAGGTGCCTGAATCAAGTATTAATTGTTATATAATGTTTTCGTACTTAATAAAAATATCATCATTATAACAATCAATGTGTAGCGTTTGTAACAATCTATTAGTGCTAAATTTCAAGTTTATCAAACATATCGGCGTAGCATGGAATTATTTTATGTGAGAATCTGAAAGGAAGTGTTATTTACTCAGCACCGAGATTTGAACGGTGAAAACGTATAATGATGATAATGTCTAGGTACATTGGTGTGTGCCCAAAAAATTAATGAAAGTCGGTCAACTCAATTTCAGACCACATTAACCCCCAATATATTCTTTTAAAAAAAAATAAATTTGAGGCAATCCTACCAACCTTCAATTTGCAAGTTCATGTAAGATTCTTTTTGTCCGCATGAAGAAAGAATACTAAATAATGGTATTTTAAAGATCTGTACGGTGATTAAATTAATATTCAGTCAATAATTTTATTCATAGTTGATTATTACATAAATTTAAAATTTTCAATCAATTGAGACCTTTTAACAATTGGTCCCATTTTCCCAAGAGTAGGGTCATTATAGTAGGATATCCCCACGCTCATATAGCATGTTAACCATATATAACCCAGGAAATGACATTGACACACACACTGAGAAAGATGTTAATGACTCAACTCTAAGTTGACTTCCACAATGCCTCCAAACTAGTTTTCATTTTAAAGAAATAATTACATTCAGAATCCACCTTTTCTAATTTATTTATTAGCTCCCTTATAAAACTCAAAACTTTTCTAGATTTATATTAGGGATAACCCTTTAATTAATGAGATGACTTCATTTATACATTTAACCAAAATTTTAAACTTAACTTTAATGTGAAGTGGACCACCAATATATATATATATATATATATATATATATATATATATATATATATATATATATATATATATATATATATGTATATAACTCACCAATATTATAATAAACTAGAAGAATGAACCAATTTATCTTAATAGTTAAAAAGATAATTATTATTCCTAAAAGTCCTAAATTTGAGTATGAGTGTATGAAAACAAAGATGTTTAAATTTTCATTGTATATAAAACGAAAAAAAAATGTAGCAAAAATAATTTATGGGCTAAACCCATAAAAATAGAAAAGTATAGGACCAATTGCAATCATTATGGAACCAAAAAATAGAAAGAAATTACAATTTCGAAGCAAATAGGATTTATGGGCTAACACATTTCTAAGGCAGAATTTCAATAAAAGGATCAGGCCACATTTGTAGAAGGCGGAATTTTACCTTTGTCAGATAGAAAGGCTTGGAATTCATTAATTATCAGATATATAATTAATGACAATAAGCAAGTTTCCATGCATAATCTACAACACATCAAAATTAAAGCTATCCAAAGAAACCACGTGACTTAGATGTTGCTACGATAGTAAAAGTCCAAATCCTGAGCACCTAATTGCCTTTATTGCAAGCTTCAAAATGGGGAACCACTACACTCCTAACTTCCACAAGCCATGCACTCTTCTCGATTTGTAAGGGAACACACAATTTGTGCCACTTTTGTGTCATCATCTTCTACTTTTGGCTTTTCCTATATTATTTACCAGAACAATAACACAATTTAATATCAATAGAACTCGCAAACTGACCATTCTTGATGCTACATGGATAGGTACACATTACCTTAAGCATCGATGTATGAACAGTGAATTTAATTGCATCAGCTGCAGCAAGAGATCTTAAATAACACATTCCTGTCTTCAGACCCTATATATAGAGTGAAGAGCATGAGCAAAAGCAATGAGTCAGCAACCATTATGCAACTACTGGCATTTTGTTTAATCAAAATAAACATCAAGTTTTAATATCTTGGACCAAGCATAGAAGTGTAAGGATGTAAGTTTTCAAATTTTGGTTGGTCCATATGTATATTTAAACTTTGGCTCTGATCTATGTAGCATCCCCGACCGACAGCCATGTCAACCAAGGCTTTTTGCTTAATTTCCCAAACAGTCCGGGTGAACCAGAAAGAGATGTTAATTTCACACTAAAGAGAGAATGAAAGAAAGCAACAAGAGCCTGAGGATTGAATGGAAGGTCAAGAGAAAAACATGAATTGAAACCTGTAAATTGCTTTCAGTTCATGAGGTATTTTTGGAATATTTTGGACTGAACCATCAGCATGTATGATCTTGTTCTTAATGACAGACGTCCGAAAACCCATCTCGGTTAAGTCATGAAGAAGATGCTTATTCACCACCACAAACTCTCCACTGAATGAAAACAGGAAATGAGTTTAAGCAATGGACAACAAATAAATAGTAGGATACGCAAAGAGGAAGCCAGGATAGACCTCAGAACTCTACGACTGTAGATATTGGAAGTGTAACCCCCTAGACCCAGCCTATACGTTTCGACTAAGTCTAGCGGATCACATCCATAATTTTTAAAGGCATTTTCCGAAACCTTTATTCAATCAATGTAAAATCACATTATAAATACATTTATCAAAGGATATAATAAATTATGATAAAATCTAACTCATGAATATAAAACTAAATAGTTAAAACTTTAATTTTTAAAACATGTCATAAAATTTGGATCACCATAAACCAAATATCAGTAGTGAAAACAATGTTCATTTCTGAAACAAATACTTCAAATAAAGACCCATGTTACCAAAATAAAGTCAACTTGAAATATAAAAGCATTACAAATAGATGCACTTCAAGATATATGTTGATCCTCCAAGTGCTTGATCCGGGGTATCTAACCAACAGTATCTGAAAGGGGGAAAACATTTTCGAAAAGTGAGCTAGGCTCAGTGCGTCCCAATAGTATAATAAAATCATAGTAGGTACAATAAACGAGTAATGATTCATAAAATCATCATAAAATTTAACTTTTGAAACTCATAGTATAAAACCCTTCTCCTGTACACCATCCGCAGTTCCCCAGAACTGCGTCCAATAGGGCTTTCCTTAAGCACACAGCAAAAAGGAAGCCAACCTAAGGATAGGCTTTGGGGCCTGTATCCTTAAGTCCGTAAGTCTATAGGGCTTACCCTAAGCATACAGCAAAGGGGGCCAACCTAATAGAGCGTCTTGGGGCTCGTGAGCCTACCCAAGAGTCTATTAAGTCCGTAAGGTTTACCAGCTTGATCAGAGCTATACCTCCGTAATTCAATCCAACCCAAAATCAGTATTTCAAAAATACTATTTATGCAGTAAGCATAATTTCCATAAAACAGTAAACACCGTTATTATTTATCAGTGAAAACCAATAGTCATATATATCAGTCATTGTCCATAAACCATCAATAAACAGTAAATCATAGCTTTCAATGTACCATATTTCAAAACATATAAAACAATTAAATAGTACTTAGGGAACACACCTCGATAATATGATCAAATAGTAGATCTAGTGATTGCTGGCCTCCCCACGCTCTGCCACAGTTTTCGAACATAATTTATAATAACACTATATTACTAATGGGTAACATAATTAATCTCTAAAATCATAAAATTTACGGGTCTTACGGGTGAATACTGGCACACGTGGTTTAACTGATCTAGAAGACCTGGGTCGAGCTGTCGAACGATCCGGAGAGTCTCTTGTTCCTTCAAACAATAATAATTTATCAGCCCCAAGTCTTACTTAATTGTTCAAAGCTAAAATTTTTAAGTATATAAGCATTCAACGGGTTTGACCGACGATTTGGAGGCCTTCGGGTTCGAATTTGGCGAAACGGACTTCGGAAACGGTTTTGGGACGTCCGAAACTGTCAAAATAAGTATACCCGGAAAAAGTCAACGGTCGTTTACTAGCTGGTCAACGCTGGTCAAAGGTGCTCACAATTAATAGTTAACTTTTACAAAATAGCACCTTAAATTAAATTTATTTACAAAATTAGCACCCTTTTAAAATTAATTACGAAAAAGCATCATTTTTTTCAAAATATTTACGCAACTAACACCTTCATAACAGTATTTAGGAAACTAACATTTTTTAACAATATTTACTAAAATACCAACATAACCGAAATTAATTACATAATAGTCACTCTTTTAAAACTATTTATCAATAATCTAAACTAACAAATATAATATGTTTTCAATCTAAACACTGAAATATTATTCAGATTAAATGATCTGACTTTACCTACAACGAACAGACGAAACAAGACGGTCGTTGAAATGGTCGGAATCGACAAAATTAAAAACGACGATCGGGGTTTTGAGTGTCTATTTACCTTCTCTATTTGGCCTAGCTATGACCGATTTCGGAGCGAGATTGGTCGGAATCGCTTCACGGAGGCCGGGTGCATCCGATGTAGGTGGTGGTGACGTCCACTGCCGACTGGAACAAGGAGGAGGAGAAGGAGGGGCGAAAACTAGCTTAAGTGAGGGAAAATGAGTTTAACACTCGAATAAACTGAATCTGCAAAACATGGGTAATCACCCATATTTTAAAACCAATAAAACCCTCTATTATTTTAAACATTTAAAACAAATATATTATTGCTTAGTGATTAATCCACTATCTGCACTAACATTGTTTTAATGTATAAAACTCATAGTGATTAATCCACTATCTACCACTAACATATTTTAAACGTTTAAAACCCCATGCCCCATTATTTTACTCTAGTGCTCTATATTTAATATTTATAGTGTTTATTATTTTATTTATAATGCTTATTATTTATATATATATATATATATTTTTCTAGTGGAAAATTATGGGCAGAGTGTGACAATTCTCCCCCTCTAAAAGAAATTTCGTCCTCGAAATTTACCTTATGAAAATAACTGAGGAAACTGAGCCTCCATTGACTCCAATGTCTCCCAAGTAGCTTCTGAGGGGCCTCTATTACTCCATTGAACTTTGACCATTGGGATACGTCTATTCCGAAGAACTCGATCATCCCTTTCTAAGATCTGAATGGGCTCTTCCTCATAGGATAAATTAGGTCTCAGCTCTACCTCTTCAACCTGAATGATGTGACCTGGATCTGGACGGTATCGCCTCAACATAGACACATGAAAGACATCATGAATACGACTGAGCTGGGGAGGCAACTTCAGCTGATATGCAACAGGTCCTACCCTCTTCAATATACAAAATGGTCCAATAAATCTTGGACTTAACTTTCCCTTACGCCCAAATCTCAGTACTTTCTTCCACGGGGATACCTTTAAAAAGACCTGATCTCTAACCTCAAACTGTATATCCTTCCTTCTCTGATCTGCATAAGACTTCTGCCTATCAAATGCCTCTTTCAGACGGTCATAGATCAATCTGACTGTGTCCTCCGTCTCTTGTACTAACTCAGGTCCCAAAGTCTTCCTATCACGCAACTCAGTCCAACAAATCGGAGTGCGACATCTACGCCCATAGAGTTCTTCGTATGGTGCCATACGAATGCTGGTCTGGTAACTATTATTGTAAGCAAATTCAGGCAACGGCAAAATGTTCTCCCAGCTACCACTAAAATCAATTACACATCCCCGTAACATATCCTCTAGAATCTGAATTACTCTCTCAGATTGACCATCAATTTATGGGTGAAAGGATGTACTATAATCCAATCTTGTTCCCATAGCCGTATGTAGCGCCTTCCAAAATCTCGAAGTAAATCTCGGATCTCGATCAGAAATAATAGAAAATGGAACACCATACAATCTGAAAATCTCACCAGTTTGTCCAAAGTATAGTTTACCCGCACATGAATGAAGTGAGCTGACTTTGTAAGTCTGTCAACAATTACCCAAACTGAATCCTTTTTCGAGGGAGTCATAGGTAAGCCAGTAACAAAATCCATTGTAATACGCTCTCATTTTCATTCAGGAATCTTGATAGGCTGTAGCAAACCTGACGGGTGTTTATGTTCTACCTTAACCTGTTGACAAGTCAAACACCTAGCCACAAAATCTGAGATATCCTTCTTCATGCCGACCCAATGATATCTCTCTCTTAAATTCCGATACATCTTATCTCCACCGGGGTGCATAGCATAAGGACTACTATGAGCCTCAATAAGGATAGTCTGCCTCAACTCAGCATCATCAGGCACACAATATCGACCTTTGAAGCATAACACTTCATCTTGATCAAGGGCGTAATCTAAGCTTGTCCCTTGCTCTACTTGCTCAAAAATGGAAAGCAATGAGCTATCAAGGGATTGTTTAACTTTGATTTCATCAACCAAAGTAGGCTTAACTTGCAATTCTGCTAACAGAGTGCCATCGTCATATAAATTCATCCTGGCCATTAAAGACCTTAACTCCGATACTACTTTTTGACTCAAAGCATCTGCCACAATGTTAGCTTTACCAGGGTGATAATCAATCACACAATCATAATCCTTCAGAAGCTCTAGCCAGCGCCGTTGTCTCAAATTAAGCTCCTTCTAGGTCAGGAGATACTTTAAGCTCTTATGATCAGTGAAATTGTAACACTTCTCTCCGTAAAGATAGTGTCTCCATATCTTCAAGGCAAAAATCACTGCTGCTAACTCCAAATCATGAGTTGGATAATTACACTCATGCGGTCGCAGTTGACGGGACGCATAAGCCACCACCTTACCTTCCTGCATTAGAACACAACCAAGTCCTGAGTGTGAAGCATCACTATACATTGTAAAATCCTTCCCGGATTCTGATTGAATCAACACTGGTGCTTGAGTCAACACTGCCTTTAATTTCTCAAAGCTCTCATGTTGTGCCTCGCCCCAATCAAATGACACGTTCTTCCTTAACAACTTTGTCAAAGGAGCAGCAATGATCGAGAAACCCTCGACAAAACGTCTATAATATCTAGCCAAGCCCAAGAAACTGCGAATCTCAGATACGTTCTTGGGTCGTTTCCAGTTCATAATAGCCTCGATCTTGCTTGGATCGACCTGAACACCTCGCGCAGAAATAATATGCCCCAGAAACGACACTTCTTGAAGCCAAAACTCACACTTGCTTAGTTTGGCATATAGACGATGCTCTGTCAAAGTCCGCAGAACGATCTTCAAATGTTCGTCATGCTCTGTCTCAATACGAGAATAGATCAGAATATCATCGATGAAGACGACCACAAATTGATCCAAATATGACTGGAACACACGATTCATCAAATCCATGAAAGCTGCAGGAGCGTTTGTCAATCCAAAAGGCATTACTAAGAATTCATAATGACCATATCTAGTGCGAATGGTCGTCTTTGCAACATCGGATCCTTTAACTTTCAATTGATAATACCCCGAACGAAGATCAATCTTAGAAAATATTGTAGCTCCTCGTAACTGATCAAATAAGTCATCAATCCTCGGTAATGGGTACTTATTCTTGACCGTCATCTTGTTCAACTTCCAATAGTCAATACATAGCCTTAGCGACCCATCCTTCTTTTTCACGAACAGAACTAGAGCTCCCCAGGGTGAGGTACTATGCCGAATAAATCCTCTATCGAATAATTCTTGCAATTGGACCTTCAACTCTTTAATTTCCTTTGGAGCCATGCGATAAGGTGCCATGGAAATAGGTGCAGATCCCGGATAAGTCTCAATCTCGAACTCTACCTCTCTATCAGGAGGTAACCCAGGTAACTCCTCCGGAAAGACATCAGGAAACTCGCTAACTGTACGAATCTCCTTGATCGTGGACAAGGAACCTTTAGTGTTCAAAATACAGGCAATGAAAGTCTCATATCCCTTCATGATCATACGATGAATTTCCATAGCTGAAACTATATTGGAGAGATAGCCACGCCGTTCACCAATTAACACAACAGTACGACCATCTGAAGTCTTCAGAGTAGCTCTTTTGTATTCGCAATCCAGATTTACCTTGTGTTTAATCAACCAATCCATCCCAAGAATTAGATCGAACTCCTCCAAAGGAAGCTCCATAGGATCAGCGAGAAAAATTTCTCCCTGAACCTCCAGAGGACAACGCCGAAATACTTTATTCACTAATACTACCTGTCCTACTGGACTCGTAACTGTAATAGTATTTTCAGTGTTCTCAATCGGAATCTGAAGATTTCTAGATACTGAACTCGATACATAGGAGTGGGTGGAGCCATTGTCCAGTAATGCAAAATATGGAATAGAATAAATAGTAAATGTACCTGCAATAACCTCAGGCTCATATCTATCAACCCGACGTCTGGTGGCATAAACCAAAGCTGGTTGTATAGCCTCAGAAACTATTGGCTCTCTATTCTGCTGAGGTCGGACTCTACTATCTGCTCTGGATGCTGATCCGGAAGGTCTTCCCTGACTACGACCTCTGGCTGGAGTCTGAACTGATGCCTGGGAACGTGCAGGAGTCTGAGTAGTAGTCCGCTCAGACGAAGTTAGCTGTGGACAATCCCTCAATAAATGACCACTAGATCCACACTGATAGCAAAGACCCATCTTCTTACGACACTCTCCTCTGTGTCGACTACCACAATACTCACAAAGGGACCCTTGATAAAACGACGAGGAACCACCTCGACTGACAACTGAAGGTGAAGATACTGCAGGCCTAGAACTGGTATTGCTTCTCAAAGGACCCGAAGTACGAGTCTTCTTTCCAGGACGTGCGGAGAACTCGTTCGGGCCAGAAAATTTCCCAGGCCGCTCTCGATCAACACGGTCTCTTACTGGAGCTAAGGTCTCAACCTCCTCAGCATCCTTCGCTCTGCCCACCAGCACGTCAAAAATCTCATCCTGATGGGTCACAACCTGCCTACGCAGCTCGTATCTGAGTCTAAGGGCAAATTTACGGCATCGATCTCTTTCGGTAGGTACCATACTGAATCCATACTTCAGCAACTTCAAAAAATCGATCTCATACTCGAAAATAGTCATGTCTCCCTGAACCAGATCCTGAAACTGCTGTCGCCTCTGAGCTAAATAACGCTCTCCCAGAAAACGGCTCCGAAAGCGCTCCTTAAAGAAATCCCAGGTCAAACGATCGGTAGGAACACTACTAGTCACCGACTCCCACCAGGTGTGGGCATTGCCATCTAACATCGCAACTGCACCCAGATATCTCTTAGTTGGGTCTAAACCCAACTGATCCATGTGTCTCTCAGTATCCTGGAGCCAATCTTCCGCTTCAGTAGGAACTCCACCAATCTGTCCCCCAAAAGTTCTAACTCCATTGGCAATCAGAGTCTATAAAATAGGAACCTCGGAAACAACGCCAGCAACTCTTACCGCTCCCTAAATCAACTACAGAAATTGTCTACAAAAATTCTCATCCAAAGCAACTTTGGTAGACTCAGACTCAATATCAGTCGCTCCTATAATCGGTGTAGTCATGCCAATACCAGCGGCAGGAGGCAAATTCGTCAGGGTCGTAGGAGCAGGATCACCTGTCGGAGATGAGGGATCTACACGAATCTCATCGATTGGGTCTGCGAATCTAGCTACTCGACCTCGCCCACGACTAGTTCGACGTCCACGTCTAGTACTCATTTTGGTGTTTACTACAGAAGATGAAACCTAGAGTTAGATAAGCACTTGGAGTCTCGAACACAATTTAAATCATAAAAAAAAACTTTGTGACATGGCCTTAGTAACTTGTTTTGTAAAATATTTCAAAACAGTATTTTTAATTTGGACTCATACACAGTCTGAGGTTTAAAAACCAAAAGCTCTGATACCAATTAAATGTAACCCCCTAGACCCAGCCTATGCGTTTCGACTAAGTCTAGCGGATCACATCCATGATTTTTAAAGACATTTTCTGAAACCCATATTCAATCAATGTAAATCACATTATAAATACATTTATCAAAGGATATAATAAATTATGATAAAATCTAACTCATGAATATAAAACTAAATAGTTAAAACTTTAATTTTTAAAACATGTCATAAAATTTGGATCACCATAAACCAAATATCAGTAGTGAAAACAATGTTCATTTCTGAAACAAATACTTTAAATAAAGGCCCATGTTACCAAAAAAAGTCAATTGAAATATAAAAGCATTACAAATAGATGCAATCCAAGATATATGTTGATCCTCCAAGTGCTTGATCCGGGGTATCTAACCAACAGTATCTGAAAGGGGGAAAACATTTTCGAAAAGTGAGCTAGGCTCAGTGCGTCCCAATAGTATAATAAAATCATAATAGGTATAATAAACGAGTAATGATTCATAAAATCATCATAAAATTTAACTTTTGAAACTCATAGTATAAAACCCTTCTCCTGTACACCATCTGCAGTTCCCCAGAACTGCGTCCAATAGGGCTTTCCTTAAGCACACAGCAAAAAGGAAGCCAACCTAAGGATAGGCTTTGGGGCCTGTATCCTTAAGTCCGTAAGTCTATAGGGCTTACCCTAAGCACACAGCAAAGGGGGCTAACCTAATAGAGCGTTGGGGCTCGTGAGCCTACCCAAGAGTCTATTAAGTCCGTAAGGTTTACCAGCTTGATCAGAGCTATACCTCCGTAATTCAATCCAACCCAAAATCAGTATTTCAAAAATACTATTTATGCAGTAAGCATAATTTCCATAAATCAGTAAACACCGCTATTATTTATCAGTGAAAACCAATAGTCATATATCAGTCATTATCCATAAACCATCAATAAACAGTAAATCATAGCTTTCAATGTACCATATTTCAAAACATATAAAACAATTAAATAGTACTTAGGGAACACACCTCGATAATATGTTCAAATAGTAGATCTAGTGATTGCTGGCCTCGCCACGCTCTGCCACAGTTTTCGAACATAATTTATAATAACACTATATTACTAATGGGTAACATAATTAATCTCTAAAATCATAAAATTTACGGGTCTTACGGGTGAATACTGGCACACGTGGTTTAACTAATCTAGAAGAGCTGGGTCGAGCTGTCGAACGATCCAGAGAGTCTCTTGTTCCTTCAAACAATAATAATTTATCAACCCCAAGTCTTACTTAATTATTCAAAGCTAAACTTTTTAAGTATATAAGTATTCAACGGGTTTGACTGACGATTTGGAGGCCTTCGGGTTCGAATTTGGCGAAACGGACTTCGGAAACGGTTTTGGGACGTCGAAAACTATCAAAATAGGTATACCCGGAAAAAGTCAACGGTCGTTTACTAGCTGGTCAACGCTGGTCAAAGGTGCTCACAATTAATAGTTAACTTTTATAAAATAGCACCTTAAAATAAATTTATTTACAAAATTAGCACCCTTTTAAAATTAATTACGAAAATAACATCATTTTTTCGAAATATTTACGCAACTAACACCTTCATAACAGTATTTATGAAACTAACATTTTTTAACAATATTTACTAAAATACCACCATAACCGAAATTAATTACATAATAGTCACTCTTTTAAAACTATTTATCAATAATCTAAACCAACAAATATAATATGTTTTCAATCTAAACACTGAAATATTATTCAGATTAAACGATCTGACTTTACCTACGACAAACAGACGAAAGAAGACGGTCGTTGAAATGGTCGGAATCGACAAAATTAAAAACGACGATCGGGGTTTTGAGTGTCTATTTACCTTCTCTATTTGGCCTAACTATGACCGATTTCGGAGCGAGATTGGTCGGAATCGCTTCACGGAGGCCGGGTGCATCCGATGTAGGTGGTGGTGACGTCCACCGCCGGCTGGAACAAGGAGGAGGAGAAGGAGGGGTGAAAACTAGCTTAAGTGAGGGAAAAATGAGTTTAACACTCGAATAAACTGAATCTGCAAAACATGGGTAATCACCCATATTTTAAAACCAATAAAACCCTCTATTATTTTAAACATTTAAAACAAATATATTATTGCTTAGTGATTAATCCACTATATGCACTAACATTGTTTTAATGTATAAAACTCATAGTGATTAATCCACTATCTACCACTAACATATTTTAAACGTTTAAAACCCCATGCCTCATTATTTTTACTCTAGTGCTCTATATTTAATATTTATAGTGTTTATTATTTTATTTATAATGCTTATTATTTATATATATTTTTTTCTAGTGGAAAATTATGGGCAGAGTGTGACAGGAAGTATATGGTTCAAAGCAAGCACTCGTTATTTCAAGGATCTGGCTAGTTGAAGCAGTTGGCATAGGTGCTACCAAAAGTGAATTTCTCACTCCATTCTTAGCTATTCTGTTCATAAGAGTATTCCAGTCCCACCGGTTTAAAGGAGTAACACCCCACATATCCGGCTGAAGAATACCCTACAATTTAACAGAAATGAGCATAACATGTAAGCAAGAATGAGCATTTAGCAAGATATTGCAATCGCATTGAAATTTTATAACCAAAATACTTGCATGCATTAAAGAATTACCAAAATCACATAGCTTACTCACAGGACTCCCATTATATGTCTCATAGGTTCCCTCTTTCTCAGCTATAATAGAAGAAGCTTTCAGAGCATGGTAGTCTATGGTCTCAAATATGCCCTTGTTCAGTTGCTGAGCCTGAAATTCAAAACCGCTGAACTATCAGACAACAAATTCAAATTGAAAGGCATATCAAAATTCATATAATTGTGATCAATATACCTCAGGTGAATCAAAGGCCATGCCTAGTAAGATGAAAGTATCTGCAATCCCCTGAACTCCAATACCAATAGGCCTATGACGTAAGTTTGATCTTTTGGCAGTTTCAACCAGGTAGTAATTTACATCGATTGTTTTGTTAAGATTTCTTGTAACAATCTCAGTAACTTGTCACAACAGTCCAAAAAAAAGGACATCACAATCATTGTCAACAAATAATACCAGTGATATCAATTACCAACAGATACATTCATGATTTAATCAAAGTGACACACAAAGATGGATGAGTGAATTAGCAAGGTAAAGAACCAAACCTCTGCCAGTTTGTCTAAGTTAAAATATCTATTGTGGGAACCTCTACTACCAACAAGCCTCGATGGATGAGACTCCAGTGGAACCACCTGCAGTAGATATCTATAAGTTAACTAAATTAACATGCAGAATTAGATAGAGCAACTATGTACAGAATAAGCACCATTTGTAACCTACATTTTCCCTCACATATCTTGGTAGTGAAATAGATGCCAGATTGCAAACAGCAGTTTCTGTTGGACTTGTGTACTCGATTATCTCGGTACACAAATTTGAAGACTCAATGGTGCCAAGATTTTCCTGGTTGCTTTTTCAATTGCAAGTACCCTGGAACAAAAGTGCGGGAAACAAAGGGCTAAGAACTCAATACTTATCTGAGAACATAAATACTCCATATAATATAAAGCTTCTTTGGACAAATCACCTTAAATAACATGTAAGGGGTCCCTGTTTCTATCTGGGATTTCAGGATCTCAAACCACAAGTTTTGTGCTTGGACTACCTTCTTTGACTTGCCCTAAATATTTAAAACATTTAGAAATGAATTCTAGTTGGGAGAAGAAAATATAAAAGAAGCATTAATGAGAGATAAGACGGTATTAACCTCTCTTTCATAATGAATATAAAGCTTCTCAAATTCTTCACCCCAGCAATCTGCCAGTCCTGGAACTTCATTAGGAAAAAATAACGACCATTGCCCTTTACTTTGAACCCTTTTCATAAAAAGATCATGCACCCAAAAAGCATAAATTAGACCTCGAGCCCGGTGTTCTTCCTAAAGAAGCAATTTTTACACATTATTGGATATTATAAAACACATTAAATGCATCAAAGACAACTATTTTAATAAGGGTATATTCAACCATTGTCAGAAAACATAGCATAGAAATGTACAACAATACAAACATACCCTTCCTTTTCCCCCCCCCTCGATCAACATAACGAGCAGTGTCATTGAATACCCGTAACGTAGGAACAATACCATTAGATGTACCATTTGTTCCACGAATATAACTGCTCATAGCTTGAATATTGTGAACTGAGACACCAATCTCTCCAGATGATTTGCTGATGATAGCACACTCCTTCAAAGTGTCATATATTCCCTCAATATTGTCTTCTCTTATGCACAACATGTAACACACTACACCAGTACGACACACAGTCAACCAATGAGAGTGCCACACGGAACCACCGGAGTGGCTAACCAACAAATTTCCTTATCATACTCACTTGAAATTAAAGCTTCATGTGTAAATACTTGCAATAAAATAGAAAATAAAATCCATGTAAAGATAGTTTACAGTCGGGAGCTCCCATAATTACAAAATAAATCAAAAATATATAGACTATGTATTTAAAACAATTTACGACTCAAATTTACAAAATAGAGCTTTGAATATTCATGCCCTTTAGAAATTTGAGACGTACTCTGCTCTGTTGTTTGGTATGGATTTCTTCTAGTCAAAAGGCTCCTCTACTGATCTTCACCTAATATGCGTAAGGAAACAAATTCCAAACGTTGAGCTAACTAGCCCAGTGCCACACTAACAATTAAAATATACTAATATGAGTACATTTATAACATGCTTTAATAACTGAAAATAATACCATGCATATCAAGGCAATATTAGTGAGTATCCTTGCGATATTCCCTCTCCACTCTATGATAGACATCATGGTGCGGCTGAGGGATTTATGTATCTCGGAGCTCACGCACTCCTCTAGTTTACCGAGGATGTGGCCCTCGGAATCACTGCATTGGACACCACACCCCCAACTAGGCCACCCCTTGAGAGTGTCGGACCTTGCGCCCTAGCTAGTCAATTTTAAGGGCCTTGCGCCCTACCTATGGATATCCGGACTGCATCTATACTTTCGACACCCTAAACTAGAGGAACTCAAGTGTCCGAATTATTTCCCGAGCATCAACCAAGACTAGTTTTATGACACCCTAATTATTTGGCTTCTATGTTTGAATTAATCATCGTGATATTTCAACTTGTAGTCTTATTTGATGATATATTGAAGTATTGGGGTACCTCGGGGGAATTCTAATTCCCTTAAAAACGATCATTTTTCCCAAAACAGACTGAAAGTATCGATACTAGCCCAAGTATATCGATACTTTATATAAAAATTGATACTTTTAAACCTTATGTTCTGCCTAATTTCGATATTTTCTGAGAGTTTAGAAACTATGACTCAAAGTTTTGATACTCTTGAAAGAGTATCAATACTTCTGCCTAGAAAATATGTTTCTACCTAGAAATGAAGAACAAGTATCGATACTAACCCAATAATATCGATACTTGATCTGCATAAGACTTAAAAACAAACACAAAATGCTATATCATTACATTAACACGACCCACTAAAATTATAAAGAAGTTGTAAGTGTGGATACCTTAATTTCTAGGCTAAAGCAAAGCTCAAACTCACTCAATGGAAGCTTTTTCCTTCCCCTTTGTCTTGGAGGCTTCACCCACTTCTTTCACTAATCAAGATAAGAAAAAAGAAGTTTCTAAATAATCTATATAATGAAAATAAGGATTAGAATACTTCCAATAACCTAAATCCAACAAAAACAACCTAGAATCCTTGGATTTATTAAACCTCCCAAAAACCCATTTTGGAAACCATATAGGAAAACTTGCAAAAATGGGGCTTCAATTAAAGCTTGAAGAATGGTGATTCATAATCTTACCTTGGCTCAAGCTAACTAAGATTGGAGTGCTTGAAGATTGGCTCTTGAAAAGAAGGGAAATGGAAAATGCTATAAGGAAAAAGGAGAAGAGTATTTGGTAAGATATTTTTTTTGGGTTTGGTTCACGTGAATCTAATATAAAATGGAGGAAGTTTTCAGCTTCTCTTAAAAATGGGTAAACTACTCTTTAGGTCCCAACACTTTCAAGCCAACAAGAAAATCATCATCTTTCCTAATTCTTTTGGGCCCAACTCAGCCCAATTCTCATTAAACTTGGTCCAAACTATTTTAATAAATCTTTTGGGCTCTGAAAGGAGTCTCGGGTTAACCCGAACTACTAACTCGAGTTTCAGGGCGTTACACTACAAGAAGCAACTGCTCAACTACAAGAACACAAGTTAAAGAACCACATATGTATGTAAAAGAATTTAATGAACAATAGCATTAAAGTCAAGCAACTTCCTTTCATGTGTGTACAAAGATCTTACATGAGGTCTTGGAGTTCCATCATTGAGAAGTGTGGGAGAAGCATGAGCAAACCATCTTTGATACATCATGTGATAAGTTTTGATAACAGAATCAATGTCATCCTTATGAATTCTAATTGTAACGCTCATTAACATGTGTTGAGGCCTTTCTATGACCTTCCCTTGGACTTTCAAGAGGTAGGGCCTCTCAATAGTTTTGAAATCAAAATAATCAAAGTCTCGATCTATATGATCTCACTATCACTACAGCAAAATGGGTTTTTAGCGGCGTATTTTGAACAAACGCCACTAAATACTATACTAGTAGCGATTTAAGCACAAATGCCTCTAAATACTCGTACTTTAGTGGCATTTTTTATATAAATGCCACTAAATACTGTACTTTAGTGGTGTTTTTATACAAACGCGGGCTGAAGACTTGTAATTTAGTGGTTTTTTTTTATATAAACGCCACTAAATGTTGTACTTTAGTGGCGTTTTTATACAGACGACGCTAAAGACTCATACTTTAGTGGCTTTTTATACAAACGCCGCAATTTATCAGTACATTAGTGGCATTTGTATTTACAAACGCCGCAAGATTATAGTTTCTAAGTCTCGCACCCCTTTAACCCTTTCTCAGTTTTTCCCCCTCACCTATTTTGTTACTTGATACAAATGGCAAGTCTTGTAAATTTCTAAAGGTATATTTGATGGATTTTTTTTATTACCCGAATGTATCTTTTATTTGTACTCAAATTAAATTCAAATTCACTTTTTTGGTGTTAAAGCGTAAATTTGCCATGACTGGCTATAGGTGAATATTGACATTTACCACTATAATAATGTTACTAACGATTTATAAAAATAAAATTTAAAAATTATATATATATAATTACACAAAAATAAAAATTATGCATTATTATACATTAAATATACCAAATTTAAATGCAATTTTATTTTTATTAAGTATACTGAATTCTAGTAAATGTTGGGTCCGTTTGTTTCACTGAAAATATTTTCCGGAAAATGAAATCTGGAAAATGAATCACATTTCTGGAAAATATTTTTCAGTGTTTGGATGGTACATTGTAAAATATTTTACACTATTTGATTAATTTTTCTGAAAACAGTTTTCAGAATCTGTTTTTAATAAAAAAAACATACATATTCAATATGTTTTTATTCTTTACCTTTTAGTTTTATTAAAGGTTCATTTTATTTTTTATATAATTATATTTTATAAAAATTTGTATTTTTATAAGTACATTAAACTAAATATTTAGATGAGATTAATAATTTATGTTGATTATGTTATAAATACACTATTTTAGGTTTAAAATCTTCATGATGTTTATTCATTCATATTTTTAGAAATAAATTTCAACGTATAATTAATTTTATGTAGGTTTATTTGATATAATATTAATAATTTATTAAAAATATATTATAAAAGTTTATAAAAATTATGTAGGTTTAATTAATAGTACACAACGTTAAAACAATAATAGTACATAACATTATTATAATAATAATAGTGTTAAAATGTATACTTAAAGGATTTATCACATTAAAACAATAATAATATCCAACCTACAAACAACTTTCAAGGCAATACAAGCAGCTGTATATGCGTTTTCGTTGAAACATTTGTCAATCTTATTGACGTTTTTAGCCTGAATGGCCAGAGCTTCAATAAGACACTTGTCCATTGCAACCGACCAAACTACATTTCTTCCTTTATGCTTCATCTCACCCCTTCTCGGCGCAGGCATGACATAGTGGTCCATTCCTAATGCAGGAAAAACAACATAACCGTGTAATAGGAGTGTATTCGGTTCGGTTCAGTTCGGTTTTTTACTAAAAATTGAATCGAACCGAAATAAACGGGTTTTCAATATTTAAACCGAAACCGAATAGTTAAAAAACCAAAAAAACCGAAACCGGGTTTTTCGGTTCGGTTCGGTTTTTTTTACGGTTCGGGTTTTTCGGTTCGGTTCGGTTCGGTTCGGTTTATCGGTTTTTCAATAAAAAAATCACTTGAAACTATAATTTTTTTTACAAAAATTGCCTATTCGGTTTAATATGGAACAAATGGGTTCCATATGGAAAACCCGAACCGAACCGAATCAAAAAAATGAAGTCTTTAAACCGAACCGTTTAAAGCCAAACCGAACCGAACCGAACCGTTTTACTCGGTTCGTGTCGGTTTTCTCGGTTTCATTGCTCAGGTGGAATATAAAACATTGCTCAACAGAAACTAAATATAGGTAAAATCAAGGAACATGATACCACAATCATACAAGTGAATAAGAAAAAGCGATGATCATTTAAACACATTTTGAACTGAGTTAGAGAATAAGATGTATATGTAGATTTGTTTTGTTCTGATACAGGACAATAGAGCGCACAACAAAGACCTAGAGTCTCATTATGTTCTGATCATATAAATATATAAAACAGCAGCAATGACCTGAACAAATGGCACAATGGCATATCGGCAAACATTGATTTGTAAATATAGCAACTGCTATGCCCCGAAAAAGCAATTCATGCAAACCTCGCAGTCTAGTCAATACTAGTTCATTTAAAAGAGGAACTAAGAAGACAAACTGCAAATTTATAAACTATTCATCACAAAACTTAGGTCAGTCAGGCATAAAAAGACAAAGCATAAATGTGGCTCGGATTATATGACAAACACGACCAGTGTCATCCTGTACAAATTGGATGCTTATAGCATTGAAAACCATGAGTAAGCAGAGGGGCTTGGGCCCAACCACAGGCCTGAACATGAAATTTGAACAAAACACTGAACACAGGATAAGATGTGGCTAGAATTTTAACAAAAAATTGAATACAAGATCAAGTAATCTTAAGTAAACAGATTTGTTCTTAAGATGACTAACGTAAAACAATAAAAGATAACAGAAAACCTATATAATCATACTTCATAAAAGAGATAAGATATGGCTGGAATTTCGCCATTCAAATCCAATAAACTGAGGACCACAGATGAAGCTCAAAACAATCACTTGACCACTTTTAATATATCTCATTAAAAAAAAACAGATTGGAAGGGAGGGAAAAGGACCAAATTCTTCCTTTTAACGCATATGCGGAAACATTTCTCTTTCTGCAAGATAGTCAACTATCAATGATCATTGCTATGACCAAATGCTCTCTATTACCTCACTTCAACATTGTTTAACCCTCCCTCTTTGATTACTAAGTTCATGGTGGTAAAAGGCAAGGTTAAGAGGTTGAGGGTTTGCAGTAGATGGTGAAAGAAGTTAGAACAAGCTGGAGGGAGTTTCTAACCAATCTATGCCCTGCCCAAACTCCAAAAATATATACACAAATAAGATCCAAAACTGTTGGCCATAACAATCTCCAACAAAACAGTGCATATCATCAACAATGCCGCTCATAAAAAATGCAGAGCGCATTTAAGATTATAGTAATTACATGTTCTAAGGGATATCTAATCCTCCTTTTTGATAAAATTCATGTACCCCATGTCACAATGCACTAAGAAAATCGAAAGCACTACTATGAAAAATGTTAAAATATTTTAGGCTTAACCCTTATGCTTGATTTACATGAAAAAACGGTACACATGGCCAACCCTTGACTGTACGGCATCTAGGCTCCAAATCAGTACATGCTGGAACATATAAAAAGAGCCTATACCAACACATACTTCCTAAGATTTAGAAGCTAAGATAAAAACAAAACATACAGAGATACAAATAGACATACACACAACAATACAACTCAATTCAACCTGTAACTGGTTTAACACTACCCTAAACCATGATCAATGCAAGAAGCACTTCACAGTAGCAAGGATTTCCGATGGTGTTCAACAATCAGTATCAACACACAGTGTTGAGGTCATACTAGAATCTGATAGAACAACAATTTGATCTACATAAATATTTTAAAATTTTAGAATTCCATTCCCCAGACCAAAAAATGATAGAACATCAATTTGAATTAAGATAAAACATTAAGAATATATTAATGCTTACCAAAATAGGGGTTCTAATTGAAGAAACAACCAATGTACAATCACTTAATACTACATCAAGAAAAATTTACGAACTAGGTTTCAATCATTCGTAACAAAATAAAAAAAGATGGCAGCTAGGAGCTCAACCAGGGCAATGATCCAACAATCTTGTTAGTCATCAAGGATTGTACTCTTCTTGAATTCTTGCCTAAGCACACCAACCTAGTGCCTACCTATATGCAATAAAGAATTTAAAAATGATCATGTTTCCAGTATCGATAGGAACACATTGATGCTTGTAACACTGAAGAAGTCACTTCAAGAAACTAGATATCACTTTTAAGTCAGAATCATATCCCAGAACTTAAAATTAGTTTAATTCAGAAGACTACTCCCATTGTTAGCACCCCACATGACTAATAACAACACAGACAAAGAAAATGAGAACAATCAGAGGTGAGTATATCAAACCTGAATCTTCAGAACCCTTGTCTCCGTCGCTAACATCGACATCAACAGCCAGATCAGTTGAGCAACCTAAACATAAATAAATAAAAACACAATTTACAAAAGAAAAATGCCAGAAAAAAAAAGTTAAAAAATTATTAACTTTGACCAAAAATGTGTAAGGAACTAAATAGAATAAAGGAGACAATTATAAAGAACATCTCATAAATTCAAATCCCCCCAAAAAAAATGCTTCGGGTTTTTGAAGAAATAGAGACACTGGAATCATTGCTGGAAAGCTCAAAGGGGAGATCACTGGAAGTAAAGTTAGAGTTCAGACGAATCGGCTCCGGCAACTCTTCCATTTCCCCAAAGAGTGTATGAAAATGAGGGAGATTCCGGGGGAACTTGGAGATCGCGAGGTTTTTCGGTGTGGAGCAGGGACGAGAGAACGAAGGAAAATGACTTACCCTTTTCCAAACGGTAAGTCATTTTACCATGTTTTGCTTTGAGTTTTCAGTTGACCGGAAAACTAATTCCATTGGCTTTTTGTTTTACGGGAATCAAACACAGAAAAACGGGGAAAATGTTTTCCCCCAACCAAACGGACCCAAATTACATAATTAGAACAAGAAAGCCTAATTACAAATTAGTGTCATGGATCATGACCTGGATCGCCGAGTCGAAAAGTATCCACAGTCGTTGATGAATAAGATATAATCTAACCGTCCAGATTTTTGCCATTGAAAACTTTCCCCCGCGCGTGCTCTGATTTTTTTTTAAATATATTGAAATTTATTAATATATACTACCAAAACCATTTTCCCTTAGCATTGATCAAAAATCCAATCAACAAATTCCGTTGGTTTTCATTGCAACCAAATATAGTCTTCCGATCATTGTCAGTTAACCCATGGCTCGTAAAAACAAACAACCAGGAAATCAACAAGAGGGAAGGTGCCACGTAAGCAACTGGCAACCAAAGCCTCCAGGAAGTCTGCTCCGACCACTGGAGGAGTAAAGAAGCCACACCATTTCAGGTTCGGGATGGTAGCGTTGAAGGAGATCGGGAAGAACCAGAAGAGTACGGAGCTGTTGATCCGTAAGCTTCAAATCCAGAGACTGGTGAGGGAGATCGCTCAAGATTTCAAGACGGATCTGAGGTTCCAAAGCAGCGCCGTAGCGACTCTTCAAGAAGCTGCGGAGGCCTATCTGGTGGGTCTCTTTGAAGACACCAACCTCTGTGCTATTCATGCCAAGAGAGTTACCATTATGCCCAAGGATATCCAGCTGGCAAGGAGGATCAGGGGAGAGAGGGCTTGATAATGTATATCAATAGTATCGTTTATATGTTACAGTGTAAGATGTATGCTTCTGGAATCTACATTTTTAGGTTTCCATTAGGTGTAGTTCTCATCGTTTAGGGGATTCTGCTGTGTTAGAGATGAAATTAGTGTTTGAAAAATATATGCAACTACTTTTACTGGTTTTAATCTTCATTGAAATCCGTTTAGCTCCTTATTTGATTTGTGTTTTGATCAATTGATATATCTTCAATTAGCTGTTCTTATGGACAAATGTGTATCAATATAGTCAAAATTAGTTTGAGATTCTAGCTTGTAGAAGCAAAATTATTATGTTTGAAAGAGTAGAAAACAACATTTGAAAAATTAGTTTTAATTCGCGGCGTTTGTATAAAAAAAAAAAGCCACTAAATACATAGTTAATACCGCCGTTTTTGAAAAACGCCACTAAAGTCTAGATCTTTTGTGTCGTTTATACAGAAAGTGCCACTATATACAAAGTCAATAGCGGCGTTTCACATTCACAAATGCCACTATATGACATAACATTTAGTGGCGTTTTTAGAAACAAACACCACTATATGTCAAAACATTTAACAGTATTTTTGTTGGGCAAAATGCAACAAAAGAAAAGATAAATAGCGTCGTTTGGAGAAAACAAACGCCGCTAAATATCATAACCTTTAGTGGTGTTTATAAAAAAGAGCTGCTAAAAAACATAATCTTTAGCGGCGTTTGTGAACGACAAACGTCACTACCTTTTGCGGCGTTTGTTTTTGCGCCACAAAAATTTTCAACGGCGTTTAAAAACGTTGCTAACAACCTGTTTTGTAGTGTATCCAACAGAGAAGCATTTGATGTCACTTCCTTTCACAGTTTTAGCTAGATAACACACGTCCACTTTACAAAATGGATCACTTCCATTCAAAATTCCAATTCTACAAACATGTCAAGATCTGGTAAGACCAACACAATTTTAGCATTGACCAAGGGAAAATAAAATTAATTCACAAGCTAAATGGTTTGCTTTTTGAAACTAGACTTTTCAATATGAATCAAAAAAATCATCAGCAATTTGTGTATATAATTAAACCACAACTTAGCTAAAAAGTTTATCATAATTCAAAATAGAAAAGAGTTGATAAGAAAAGGAAAAGATAATCATATTAATTTCACGATGATCTCATAAACATCATCATTATTTTAATCCTACATTTATAAACCGCACATTCTCTAAACATCAAAGAAATTAAATTAAATGGAAAGCACTTACGTCTTAGAGAACGACTTCCTAGTATTCTTGTGTAAATATGAAACAACAATCCTCGCCGCCAACTGCAATCATACATACTAATTAGTAAAAGTTTCGCATGGATTTTAATATTGTTATTCCAAAGAATAAACAAATAAACTTACGGAAGCATAATCAGGGTGGTTAGCGGTCATAGCGGCAGAAGTTTCAGCAGCCAACACATCAAGCTGGCTGGTAGTAACCCCTTTGTAAACACCATTGCAGACTTTCTAAGCCACAAGGACCGGATCACAGTGGTCGATACTAAGTCCATAGATCAGCTTCTTCAACCGCGCCGTTATCTTGTCAAAATGAAGTGCCTGTTGCCTCCCGTCTCTCTTAATCAAATACATTGTTAATCCTTCTCTCTTTTTTCTCTAAGTAATTTCGTCGAATAAGTTTCAGGATTGCAGAAAAAGAGTCACCATAAGCGTGATTTATCTAGTGTGATCAAAGAAACATGTGGATTTAAAATTTGGGAGTTTGGATTTGTTTTTGGTAAACTATACTATTAACCACCTAACTATTTAGCCCTTTAATTAAATTAAATTAAGAACAAATTGAGAGAACATATAAATATTAAGAGGATTAAATGTATAATTATGCCAATTTTTTATAACTGCCACGTCAGCACTTCCTTCAACTTTAACAGTTACTTGATAACAATTAAATACGTAGGTGGTCTGATTGTCAAAATCGAAAGATCGGTGGCAAAAGTGAAAGGACTAAATAGTTAGGTAGTCAATGTCATAGTTTACCCTTTATTTTTTTATTGAGTTTTCCTCTTGATTCGAATTTGGTTTGGGAAATTTGAAAATTTCGTGCCAAAATGGATAACATTTTGAATGGTTTAATACCCACTGGTATAATTGAAACAAAAATCAAAATTTAATGTTATAATCAGTAAAATTGAAAGTTCAATTGTAAAAATAATACAATGTTTAAAGTTTGATGGTATATGATGTAGTTTACGCTTTATTCTTGCACATTTTAGACTGGGTAAAGTATGTAAATGGTCACTAAAATATATTGTAATGATATTTTTAGTCTTTAAAGTTTTGGAAGTTATGAAATAGTCATTGTATTTTATAAAATAGTGATAAATTTTAATAAGTTTAAAACTTTAAATATCGTCTTATACTAATTCGATAAATTTAATGATCATTTTATATTTATTAGGGAAGCACAATAGCCACTTTGTAATTTTGAAAATTTCCGTGACCAAAAATATTACTTTAACATACTTTAATGATTATTTGTGCACTTTAACCTTTTAGATTTAAAAAAAAAAATAACCTATCAAATTTATTTATTTCTTTTATTATAAAAACAATTGGTGGGATGCGGATGAAATCAACTTAAGAATGAAAATCCTCAATGAAACACAAGTTTGAGTTTGAATTGAGAAACAAAGAATTTGATTAAAGTTTTATTTTTCCTTCTTAGGAACAATAAGATATTCTTTTCTTAATCAACGATTTTATTTTAATTTTTTAAAAGAAAAATAGGAAAAAAATACACCAATAGACATTAATATTTTGTGTAAAAGATCGCCACTAAAATTTTAAAAATTACGTTATTATCATGAACGTCATTTGTTTATCAATAAATAATTATCCCGATATTATTTTTATTAGAATAATTATTTGACACATTAATTAAAAAAAATTAATATATGATTTGATCACTATAAGTAAAATATCATTAAAAAATTTATCGAAAATGTCTTACTGGTTTTATCACTTTATTGATTGAATAAAATAATTAAAAATGTTCTTAAATTGTTAACATGAAAATAAAAAATTATGATAAACATCAATATAATCATTATTTTTTAACTATAAATGACCGAAAGAAAAATAAAACATAAATTAAGTAAGATTTTGAAAAACAATGTTGGGTAACCAAAATAGAAATAAATTAATAGTTAAATGATTAAATAATTAGTTTGCACAATTTTTTATCTTGAGAAATGATTTTTGAAGAAATTTTGTGTGTAGCTCAAGTAACTCAAATGTGACATAATCGAACTCATCAGATGTTTAAGATCTAGTTTGAATGTTGCTTTATAAATTTAAATTTGGCTCAAACTCAAATTTCAAACATAAGTTTAAGTTGACTTTGAATAATTTGAATAGTTTAAAATTCAAAGAAAAATCATTTTTCTAATTAACTCGAGTTTTTTTTTCACCTCCAAGCTCTAACTCCGTCCCAATTTTTTCCTCGTTCATATACTGATACGCACTATTATAAAATAGGGTAAATTACGCCAGAGACCACCCAACTATAGCTTCTTTTCATTTTGACCATTATTTTTGAATTCTTATCCATCAGACCACATAATTATTTAAATGCATGCAATCGAACCACTAATTGTTAACGGTTAACGAAAGTGCTGATGTGACAGTTAATAAAATTAATATAATTAAACATTTGATCTTTAATATTTTTATATATTATTTTAAATTGGTCATAATTTTAATTTAATAAATTTAATCTTCAATTAAATGATGAAATATGACACTACTATATTAGAAGATATTTTATTAATTTTAATTATTTTATTTATTTTATTTTGCATTCAATCAGATGCTGACATAACTGGATACAAAATGTTGAAAGCATACAATATGCTATTGTGGGGGATCAAACCAACAGATTTTATGTGCTATAGCCATGCCCAAACCACTAAGCTAATGCCCTCCATTAGTAACAAACACAACGTCTTATATATAATTTATTATAACTAATGGCAGAGGAAAAAAAAGGAAACTAACATTTTTTTCAAAAAAAGAAAAGAAAAGTAATATTTAGATTTTTATATTTATTTTTTATATATATTCATTAAATTATTTTTAATATAATTAATAATTTTTATAACTATATATAAATATTATTAATTATATTAAATAAATTAAAATTATACTTTGATTATATAAAAATATAATTTAAAATATGAATTCAAGCTTTGATAAAATAAAATTGCTAAAAATAAACCTTTGTCTTTCCTTAGCTTCTCTCTTCCTCCTTTGTCTTCCTTTTTTTCCCTTTGAGTTTGTATCATTTTTTATAGATCATATCAACTTTTTCTTCTTTGTTTTTTTAGCCAACGGTGACATCAGCTTTGATATTAGTTGTCGACCGTCGATTCTCTTTTCTCTTTGTTTTTTCTTTTGTTTTTTAATAAGAATAATTATGCCTATGTTGCACGTTTATCTCTATCTTTGTGGCACATTTTTCAATTTTTTCTCGATCGTTTAGGGTTGGATTTTATGATGCCACGACTGATCAAGATGGTGTTATTCAAAATCTTATTGATCTTCCCTGCAATGGACCTTTGGATTGAATTTGGATGCGTGATTTTGTGTTTGTGGATAGTTTTTCAAGACGCTCGGCTCTGATATGCAGTTCTCAGTGGTTTTTCAATATCTTAATTTCTTTTTGTGGTTTGTTTACCGATGCAATCAATTTTATTCGTATCTATTTTAGTCTCTTAGTTGGGTTTTTTAAACATTTTCCATGTATGATCCTTATATGACATAACGTGACTAGTTTCAATGTTATAGGAAAAGTCCAAATCATGTATTTAGTTTACGATGATAGTTGTAAACTCTTAATATAATTTCGGATATTTCACTTAATAATACTAGTGACTTCTATTAAAAAAATCAAGCTTGATAAAATTAAATTTTAAATTAATTTTTATACATATTAAATTTATTATTTTAAATTTTATATTAATT